ATATTAGCAGTAAATGGTCCTAAAAGAGACTTATCTATTATAAAAGGAGTTAAGGATAAATTTGGAAGACAATTTTCTAATTCATTCTACACTAGAGTTCTACCAAATGGGAAAAAATGTGATAGAGATTCGCTCATATATTCAAAAGAACTTGATAAGGTTTTTGCTTTTGTTGTAAATTATTTAGAAAAGGATGTGATAAAGGTCAACTAGCAAATGAAGGTTTTAGTGATTGGGCGCATCTTTGTGTTAGAATTAGGGAGCATGAAATTAGTATGAAGCATGTTCAAAATATGGCCACATGGTACGATTTGCGCTTACGACTTAGAAAAAATATAACTATTGACAAAGTGGCTCAAAAACAACTTGAGAAAGAAAGGAGCATTGGAAAAGTGTCTTGTTGAGAATTATTCCAATTGTGAAGTTTTTTGGAAAACATAACCTAGCATTTCGAGGCACTAATGAAAAATTGCATCAAAATGGCAATGGAAATTTTTTGGGATTAATTGAGATGTTAGCTGAGTTTGATCCTATTATCCAAGAGCATGTTCGTCGTATTACTAATGATGATATTCATATTCATTACCTTGGTCATAATATTCAAAATGAGTTGATTCTTTTGCTTGCTTGTGTAATTAAATCTGAAATCATTAAAAAAATAAAAGAGGCCAAATATTTTTCTGTGATACTTGATCAGTTGATTGTACACCTGATGTGAGCCACCAGGAGCAAATGTCTTTAATATTAAGATATGTGAATTTTTCTTCTAATTCTGTTTGTATTGAAGAATCATTTTTAGAATTTTTGAATGTGAATGATACAACTGGACAAGGGCTTTTTGATGTGTTGTTGGATAAATTAAATGCCCTTGAACTTGATATAAATGATGTGCGTGGACAAAGTTATGATAATGGATCAAATATGAAAGGAAAGAATAATGGTGTTCAAAGAAAGCTTTTGGATTTGAATCCTAGAGCCTTTTACACTCCTTGTGGTGCTCATAGTCTTAATTTAATGTTGTGTGATATGGCTAAAAATTCTAGAAAAGCTAGGGATTTTTTTGGAATAATCCAACGCACTTACACTATATTTGCAAATTCAACAAAAAGATGGCATATTTTAAAGAATAATGTGAAAGAACTAACTCCTAAATCATTGTCTTCTACTCGTTGGGAAAGTCGTGTTGATAGTGTAAAGGCAATAAGATTTCAAATCTCAAATATAAGAGAAGCTTTGCTTGAGGTTGGCGAAATTGATAATGACTCGAAAATAAGAAGTGAAGTGAAATCTTTAGCGAATAATGAGCTTGACGATTTTGAGTTTATTGTGGCCATTATTATATGGTATGACTTGTTATATGTTGTTAATTTAGTTAGCAAAAAATTACAATAAAAAAATATGCTTATTTCTGGTGCCATTGAAAATGGGAAAAAATTGATTTCATATTTTAAAGAATATAGTTAAAGAAAAGTGGTGATAAATGTGATATTAATAGTTATGATTTATATGTAGAATTAAAAATGCTTAAAGAGTTTTTGCATAAAGAAAATTTGGGAGCTTTTGATATTTTACAATTTTTGAAACGAGTTGATTGTTTTCCTAATGCAATTATTGCATATAGGATGTTGTTAACTATTCCTGTAACAGTTGCAACAGCTGAAAGAAGTTTTTCAAAGTTAAAGTTGCTTAAATCTTATTTGCGCAGTTCTATGTCACAGTAAAGGCTTAATGGACTTGCAATCGTTGCAATCGCAAATGAGATTTTGGACAGAGTTTCTTATGAGGATTTGATTGATGAATTTGCTTCAAGGAATGCTAGAAGGACGAGATTTTTCAAATGACATTCATGTTAGAACATTAATCTTGTTTTGTTGTATTTTGTGGATACAAGGACATCTTGTTTTAGTTGTATCGTTAAATATTTGTATTTTATTAATAAAATATTAAAAATATATTATTCAATATTGTAATTAGGGGGCCTAATTTTATTTTTCTGGGCCCAAAAACTGTTGGAGACTGCCCTGCCAAACCACACAAACTATACTAATAAAATAAAGGCAAAATTGCATCAAAATACACCACCTTTTAACTTTTTGTAATTTAATCACCACCTTTCAAAGTTTGCAACTAAGTACACCAGCTTTAGAAATTTGGCAAATCGAAGCATGCCAAACAGAAACCGGCACCGACTTTTTTACGTGGCAACGTCGGAAACTCACGTGGAAATAGGAAACACACATGGAAGTCTAAAAATACCAAACAGAAAATAAAAATGCCATAAAATCAGTCTACTTGGCAGATTTGCTAAAATAAAACCAAAATTAAGTAGCTCCTTAGCCCTAAATTCAAAATCAGTCGAACAACTATGAATCCTAAATTGATAAATATCGATCAATTCAAAATGTTCTCTTGTGGCCAAAATAACTCACCTCCAAAATAATCTACTGAACCATCAAGATTGATAAATCTCCCCCCATGGTTCAAATTGTTCGACAATTTTGCAATTTAGAGTTCTTAGTTGTTAGATTGATTTTGAATTTAAGGCTGAGGAGCTACTTAATTTTGATTTTTTTTAGCAAATCTGCCAGGTAGATTGATTTTGTGGCATATTAATTTTTTGGTTGTTATTTTTGGACTTCCACGTGTGTTTTCGATATCTATGTGAGTTTCCGATGATACCACGTAAGAAAGCAGGTGCCGATTTCCGTTTGACATGCTTCGATTTGTCAAATGTCTAAAGCTGGTGTACTTAGTTGCAAACTTTGAAAGGTAGTGATTAAATTGCAAAAAGTTAGAAGGTGGTGCATTTTGATACAATATTGCCTAAAATAAAATATAAATAAAGCACATATTTAATAGTTCGCACTTAAGATTTTTTTATTTTTTTTATGGCGAAAAATAGTTAATATATTATGCCAAATTGTTTTACCAATTAATTTAGCTGTTGACTTATCGTTTTTTAACTCAATTCACTTTGAGTAGCCCCGAAATTAATTTGTGAACCCACTAGTTTGATTTTATTAATATAAATCAAAATTTAATATATCTTTATATCTTGCTATAAGGAAAATATTAATTTTTCATATTTGTTCATTTATAGTACACAACTACTCTTTTATTTTAATATTGGTTGTTATATTTAATTGTATTATATTTTAAAAAACGTTTGGAAGAAGAAAATGAGCAGATCTACAGCTATACCACATTAGGAATGATATTAGTTTCTCAAATAAGCATTTAGTATATAAGGAAAATATATATCTACATTGTATTGCCTTTGTTTTTTTTATTCCATCTTCCCCAAATATTGCTCTTTTGAGTTTTTTTTTTTTTTTTTTT